CCTCCTAGAAGAGTTCATAGGACCTCCAAGACAAGGGAATCTAGGGTAGATCTCCCTTATTTTCATGGGAAAGATGATGTTTAGGGGTACCTTGATTGGGAGATTAAGGTTGAACAAATCTTCACTTGCCATCAAGTAAGTGAAGAAAGAAAAGTATCCCTAGCCACTCTAAGCTTTCAAGGTCATGCCATGTATTGGTGGACTTCTCTTGTGAGAGATAGGCGTCTCCATAATGATCCTCCAATTCAATATTGGAATGAATTAAGGAGTGCCTTGAGGAGGAGGCATATTCCCTCTTATTATACTAGGGAGCTTATCAACAAGCTCCAAAGACTCCATCAAAGAAAAATGACTGTGGAAGAGTATAGACAAACGATGGAGTTATATTTGATAAGGGCTGGCATTAGGGAGGAAGAAAACATTACCATTGCTAGATTTTTGAGTGGTTTAACTTTTGAGATAAGAGATAAGGTTGAGATTCTTCCTTATAGAGATTTAAATGATTTAGTTCAACTTTGTATCAAGGTTGAACAACAAAATTTGAGAAAAGGTTTCAAAACAAGCTCATACTCATCTCCTTACTCAAAGGTTGATTACAAGAGGGAGGGAAAAAAAAATACTTTTGAAAAGAAAAATAGTTTTGACTCCCACAAAAATCTAGACAAGGGTAAAGAAAAAGAAAAAGACAAAAAAACCAACACCTCACACACTAGTACTAAGTCTAGTGACATAAAATTCTTTAAGTGTCTTGGGAGAGGCCACATTGCTTCTCAATGCCCCAACAAAAAGGTCATGATTCTAAGGGGCCAAGACATTTATAGTAGCCAAGATGAAGCTACTACTTCTTCATCTTCAAGTGAGGATGAAGAAGAAGCAAGTGAGGGAGAGTCATGTGAGGTCACTTACCCTTACAATGAGGAACTTCTTATGATGAGAAGGGTCCTCAATAACCAACCTAGTGATACACAATCCCAAAGAGAGAACATCTTTCATACAAGATGTAACATTTCAAACAAGGCTTGTTCTCTCATAGTGGATAGTGGATCTTGGTGCAATTGTTGTAGCACTAGGATGGTTGAAAAGTTGGGCTTGACTACCACACCCCATCCAAAACCTTATCAACTTCATTGGCTTAATGATGATGGGGATATGGTGGTCAACCAACAAGTGGAAGTAGAGTTTTCTATTGGGAACTATAAAGATAAAGTAAAATGTGATGTGGTTCCCATGGAAGCTTGTCATATTTTATTGGGTAGGCCATGGCAATTTGATAAACAAACTCATCATGATGGCCTAACCAATAAGATAACTTTCACTCACAAAGGTAAGAAGTTTGTGCTTCATCCTCTATCACCTTTACAAGTGATGGAAGATCAAGTACAAATGAAGACCAAACATGAGCAAGAGAAAGGAAAACAAAAAAAAATGAAAAAAGAAACTTCTAAAAATTAGTGAACAAGAGGATTCTAGAGAGACTAGTGTTCCCTCTCCAGAGATAGTTCAAGAAGAGATTTTTGTTTCAAAACCTTTACACAAACCCTCTCTCTTCCTTGAACCATCTTCTCATATCCTCATGTGTAGAGGAACACTCACATGCACTACCACAAGTTCTTTGGAAACTTCTTTACCTATAGAAGTCAAAAATCTTTTAAAAGAATTTGATGATGTATTC